TATGTGCCTCCCTCCCCGCCTCCCCGTGTTCCCCCGTTCCTCCGAAGAGAAATAGATTTGTCGAAAGATAATTATTTTAACTCTGACGGACTGGAGCGCATAAAGCTTGATACCGCCAGTGGTGCCCTGTGTTATTCTGGCATTTCCCAAACGATTTTAAATCCCTCCAGTTATTTATATCTCGCTTTTCAGCCGGCGCTATATTTTTTTTTTTTTTTTTAGAGCTTTATTATATTTACCTGCTGACTCCAAAGCGGAGGCAAGCCTAATTGATTTTTAAAAGATCAGCAGCAGAATTCTAATCCGCTTGGGAACCTGTTTCCACCTGCCAGCCGAGGGTGTGATTATCGGTAATTATGTTATTTAAGAGTTGATAAAATAGCGGTGCCCGGCGCCGCCCGGGCCCCTTCCCCAGCCGGGGCGCGGAGGGGACCCAGGCGGGGAGAGCGGCTCGGCGGGGCCGCCGCCATCACGTGCGCCGCGGCAAACACAATTACGGGGCCGCCGTTAATAATTCATGGACTGAGATTTAGAAAATTAATAAAATGAATTATAACAAGAGGCTAATTAAAAACTTTAGTAATTGTTGTCAAGACAGCTTGATGGGAGGCGTGCTGCACGACACCCCCGCCTCCACCCCCCCCCCACCCCCCCCGCCGCCGCTTCCCCTCCTTCCCCCTTCCGCTTTTGGAAAGCTTTTTCTTTTTCCTCCTTTGCAACCCCATCGCACCTGAAGGAGGTTCAGTTTGGGAGAAAGGCAGTGGATGAATATATAGGTCAGCTGAATACATAGGTCCCAGAGATGAGACCAAGGTGGCAAAACTGCAAGCAAGTCTCTTCCTATCTTAGCAAGATAGATAGGCAGGCGGCTGGTGGGTGGGTGGGTGCGTAGATGGATGAATGAAACGCAGGGCTCAAAAGTTAATTTAAACTAAGATGTCACATATAAATCTTTGAAGAAGCAGCAGTAGCAGAAAGCACGCCTGCACCGGAGGGCCCCAGCCCCGCTGCCGGGCGGGCGGGCAGCGACTGGGGGCGGGCAGGGGCAGGGAGCGCCCCCGGGCACAGGAACGCACTTTCCGCTTTGTTTCCGCACCATCGATGGCAGCGGCAATCGGTGCGGGGCCCCCACCGCGCCTCCTGCCTCCGCGGGGAGCGGAGGCGCCGCGGGATGCTCGCCTTCCCCCGCGGGGTCCCTTTCCGCCTGCTGGTTTAAGATGCAACTTTAGGGCGGGCTCAGCGCGGTGTTTCCGCGGGCAGACGGGGCCGGGGAGCTCGGTTCTTACGCCGGTGCGGATTTATGGCCGTGTCACCAGCCAAGCCCTGCCCAGGAGCTCGCCGTGGCTGGTCGTCCAGGGGCAGCTGTGCATGCAAAATCTGGTTCCCAAATTGGAGTCATAGCCCCTCTGGGAAAGCAGGAATCGTCCTCCTTTGAACTGCATTTTAACTCCTTCAGCCTGCTTACCGAAGTATCCCAAAGCATCATTAATTCTGGAGGGAAACGTGGTTAAAAACGTCTTTTTTTGTTTTGAGTTTAGTTTTTTTTGGGGGAGGGGTTTGTGTGTTTTTATATATGTGTGCATATATATATACACATATATATATATAAAATTAAAATTTATCGGGAAGTCGGGGGTGGGGGGAATTAAAAAAATATGTTGTAAGACGTTAATCACTCTAAAGACTGAAGTATTTAAAAGGCTTTATATAAAAATTAATTTAATATTTTCTTAAGAAGACACTCGGCCTTGGTACCTTGAAGATAAATTGTAACTTCCCACTTATTTTCATAAGTGAGTCATAAAAGTCTCCAAAGTGCCTCCTTGGGTAGGAATGCCGGCCATCCCTCCTGCTCGCACGGGCTCTAGCACGGGGCGGGTCCCGGTGCGGGAACAAACCACTCCAAGCTCGGGTCCAGCAGCGGGAGCAGACAGCCGGCTTATACTGCAAACACTGGGGTGCAGCGAAGGACCGAGGCGGTTTTTCATCCTTTGCCCAGGTAGAAGAAAGCAATTTAAAATTGTGAGCCAGAGCTAGAAGATGTAAAAGCTGTGGATATGGCCTTTTTTTTTTTTTTTTTTTAAACTCTATTTTTAAAAAGGTGATCCTTGACAAGGGGACAGCATGTCAACATGAATACATCTTACAGGCTGCGCAGAAAGGAGGCGCCGATATACATAACTTAGCCCTTGATTATGGTCATTATGTAAACCGAATTACTAACAAAAGTTTGTTTGGTAACTAATTATAGCTCACTAAATCTCCGCCGCTCTTCACTTTAGCATAATGTATACAAACTTTTGTACACGCGGATCAGAATAAAACAAAGTGTTGACA